TTACAGTACAGTACTGTACAGTATAACTAAAATTAAGCATCATCCTTCCCTCAACGTACTTAGTAAATACACGTTCAGACCCAATAACAGAAATCGAAAGTTCAGGAACTGTACACAAAATTGACATAATAGATAATCACAAACCTCAGTTCAGCCAGTCCCGTTACGAGCTTATCGATAGCCTCATTCGGCAAAGGAGAATTACCATGAATACCGGCACATGGTCCGAGGTATTTCATGGCATCGCACACTTCCTTCAAGCACTCAGGCACCCACTCGCAAGCAAAAGACAAGTCAGCGGGCCATTCCAACAAATCATCATCATCGTCCAAATCGTGAACCGACGCTGTCTCATCTTCCTCTAAGCACTCTTCGTTGCTATCCGGCTCAATCAAGTCGTCGTTCGACCACCATTTATTCGCCGCCAAGAGAAACACGGCTCGAACCAGCGTTATGTACATTCCCACGGTTCTTACTAACATTCCCTAATCACAACATATTTAAGTAAATTAAACGTGTTTTTCGACCAAGCCTAAATGAAAAATAAACGCAATAATCCCTACCTTAAGCTCGTCTCCGTGACTAGAACCTGGTGCACCAGATGTCGAACCCGAGACACACGCTTTCCCCAGTTCGTGAACTGTGGTGAGTTGTGTTCGCAGTAATTCGGCACCCTTAGCCACAAACTGGAAGCGCTTTCGTCCCATCATCTGTAAAATTGATTAGATCATTTTATTATTTTCTTAGAAGCCAGACGAGAGTTTTCTCCCTTGGAAAATACCGAAAGCAAAACAATAAATGAATGTCCAGCAGAAACATTAGAAGAAGAAGTGAACATCCTGATTAAACACGGGCTAAAGCACATCAAAAGACAAAGTATTAAAAGAGGAAGTGCACAGAAGACTAACCAAATGAAACAATAAGAGCATTTTTAAACGCGCTCAAGGCAACTTGAGTATTAACCACTAATGCCTTCCCCTCCTTGCACAGCTCCAACCGGATATTTCCAAATTTCATTCTTTGTTTCTCTGGAACATCTAAAATAAATTTTCGAATTATTTTTTGCACGAGATTTTCATTGAAGAAATATTTTCAGAAAAAGAAGAAACAGATCAAACCTACACTAACCCAAAAGTTTCAACAATTTTATCCCTAAAGAAAGTATGGAACTTATTTGTTTCCCCGGTTTTCAACATGCTTGAACCAAAGACAGTTGTCCCCTAAAAGCGAAGAATGAAAAGTCGTCGGGAGAACAGGTGGAACTGGTTACAGGTTGATACTCCCGCTACCTATACCACACTGAGGCACAAGTATCGAAACCACAAGATGCAAAATTCAAGTTTCCGTTTACTTATATATACAGTAGTAAGACCTCGAAATAGGTACAATGCGACTCAGGGACACTTGGAAAAAGCTGCCCCAACAATGTCTCAACACACGGACACTTTTCCAAAATTCCTAGAAAAATGGAAAATTTTTCTTTTCCGAAATTGGGATATCTCTTGAAGAAGTTGAGCTATTTAAGATTACAAAAATTGTAACTTGATTTCATAATAAATTTACTCAAATTTATAAACAAAAGTAGGTGAATTTCGTGCTTTTTGGAGTTTTTCCATCAACGGAGCACAGCGTATGCAATACTTTAACTTTTTCTTTCCTTTTTGTAATGGTTTTTAATTGATTCATTTTGATGCCAAAAAATCAGATTCTGTGTGGGTTTTTCCACCCTGTATCTTAAAGTTGAGAAACAAATTTTATTCAATATTCTGGGGGATTTATTCTTAGTTTTTGACAAACTGGAGAATAAATTAAATAAGTTCCTGCTGAAGTTCATAGAAAACGTGATCCGACATGCGGACGTTCCGACATAAAGACATGATCCAAGAATCAATTACGTCCGCATCTTGGGGTCTTACTGAACAAGATTTCAACGTTTACTCTTCTGTGAACTTGATCTCTGGTATACAGTATTTGCTCTTCTGGGATACTTTTCTCTTCAAGCTTTCTTTCGGTATTGTTCGATCAATCCAAACTAGAGCTACTGTCCACACACACACAAACACATACACATACCTCTTGATACGAAGCACATCTGTAAACATCCGGGTCATTGCCCAGGTCTACAGAAACGGCCTTTGGATCTCTCGGAGCTTTCGCAGCGGTTTGACAGAGACCGGCAAAATTTGTATGCGCTCTCAGCAGGTCTCTCAGCAAACGACGGTGTTTGAATTTCACCACGTCCCACGCAGCATCCCCGGAACCCGCAACAGAACCCGTGGCCGGCAGCGACACCAGATAACGAACGAACCTCCGCTGGTCATCAATCGACACGTTGCCCCGGGCGGTTCTCAGACGAAATTTCAATTCTTTTCGCAACTCGCCAATCATGTCTTCAACGGAAACCAGTATTTTCCTGATAACCTGGATATAAAACGTTAAACCGTCAGAAGTGGAATTGTGAGGGATGGACGACCGGTTTCGTTCACGTACCTTCGATTTCGTCGAACCATGAAGGGATTTAACTCTGATATAATCGCTGATGACTTGATCGTAGTTTCCCCTACGAATGTTGTTGTTCATCTTTTGCGGAAGGAAGAAGAAAAACTTGTACCGATCAATGCAGTTGAGTGCATTGCGTTTCGCATTCGCGGCTTCTTGTTTCTCAGATAACTTCTGATACATGACTCTTGCTTCTTTGATGGAGTCTGAATACACATTTTCAAAGATATTATTCAAAATAAATCGAGGTGACGCGTTCATAAATTCCTTACGTACCATTTAAACTGACGCTCAGTTTATCCAGGGGATTCACCCCTTCAGAATTCTCTTTGTCATGCGCATCGTACGCCTTTTTCAGCTTCACCAAAGTGTCCAACTCCTCGCATACTGCTTCAATGTTCACCTGAACGTCGGATTTCAATATTAATTTTGTATTCCAAAGCCTGAACATCCTTTTTTTGAATGTCAAACGATTTTCGCAAGGATCCCTATAACTGGACCGAAAATACGGTAGCTCAACGGAATCCAACTACGATTAGGCAAAGCCAACCTCAATGAAACTATAGTAACCTAAATTCAACTAAGCTGAAGTGATTCAACCAAACCTCAACTAACTTGAAGTGACCTGACCTAACCTGAAAGGGCCAAACCAAACTACTCCACGCCCGAAGTACGAACGATTTCTGGATTTCTGAATTACCCCAACAAAACCTGAAATACTCAACTCAGACCTAAAGCAACTCAAGCTAACGAGAAGATAACTGAACTGAATTACAGTCAAACCGCGAAATGCATTTTTTAATGAGGTTTGAAGCGGTTTAAAGGGATTTTGTGGTTTATTAAAATGGCTTAAATTCAATAATATAAAAATTAAACATAATAGGAAACAAAATTCATATTTTTCTAGAAAACGATCAAAATAACCCCGGGATGCGCGAAAGACATTCAGTTAATGTTCACAAGTAGTAAATTAAATACTCTTTTTATTTGCTTTTTTTTAAATTGGGGACCTTCTGCAGAAACTTGAATCTTCTTGGCGGTCTAATGAATATGAAATAAATTGGCAGCAGCATATTAGCATATTTCAGTTGTGAATTTGGCGGATGGTTTGTTCACGGGGTTTCCAACGCGACTATCATTAGGGAAGTTTTTTTTAAATTGTAAGTACGTAGTTGCCGAGGAAGGTGACTTATCCGGGGTCGTCTTAACAGGGTTCGACTGTACAGAGCCAGTACTGTACTTGGAATCAACCAACTAAAAAATTTGAGCGACACCTACACAACTACAAATAAAATTCCGAATTAGGATGATTAGAAATGTGGTGATGAAGCTAAAAAAATAAAAGAAAAACGGTCTGGCAAATTATGAATACAATTTCGCGTACACATCACCTTCAGAAACGATAACCGATCATCGTGGTGACTTTGTACAGTGCGCTCCAAATGTGCCAGGCCGGTTTTCAGGTCATCGAAGGTGGTTTGCGGATGATGCTTCAGCAACCACCAAACCGGCTCAAAATTGTCAGCCGTCAGTCTCCCACTACCCTCAGGATACAACGACACCAGCTCTTCTTCGCTGATGGGTTTTCTTTGGGAAATAAAAGGAAGATAATTCAGAGCATTCTTGAAGCCAACAATTTAATGCACTGCAAAGATATCAATCCCGATCAAATTAGATTGTGGTCCCCATTTTACCTCTCGTTCGCATCCTTGCTTCCTTCAGCGCTTTTGGCTTTCAAATTTAAAACGCTACAGAAGGACATTGTCACAATCAACAAACTTGAAAATATTCTTGTCCACAAAAAATAATTGCTGAAACTTCGCTTAAGATTCAACACAACGAGCACAAATGAGACTTCGGAATACGGTACTGTATTCGAAAAGCAAAAATGAGAGTTTCTAGAACGTTTTTCTTTGAGAACCAGGAGCAAGCTCCGAGAGATTTCGCAGCCAAGGGTCGTATACAATCTAAATCCAGAGACTCGGGCAACATTTGATCACGGCAAACAAAAGCGGGACGAAAAACACGACGACTTTTCAGCACACACCCCGTCAAACGAAGGAGGATACGGGAAACAAAAGGGGTGCCCTTTCTTGATTTTCATCCGTCTTTTCCCTCTTTCTTAAACGTCTGTGATTTCCGCGACCCGAAAGGAGAGGGACGAAAAAAAAAATACATATATCGCGATTACTTTGGAGTCTCACCAGTGAGCTCAGTTTCTCGTTGATCGCTCAACAACATGTCCGTCTTTGCAAGTGCCGAGTGATCGCAATACATAGAAAATAGTTTCGAGATACAGTACTGTATCAAAGAAGTGCAATAAGTGAAGCGTAAAATTACGATTTATGCGCGTCCTTATTGTCATACAAGATTCCGCTGAACATAATTTCAATAGGTTTCGCGGAACAAATTTTGACACGCCTCCCCGGATCAACGCTGGTCATGGGAAAAGCAATTTCCTCCATATTTTCGCATGAAAAGAAAAGAAAAAATACGGGAGCTCTCGAGTCAGTCGTTTTTCTTTTCAACTAAAAAGGTTAATGATTAAACGAATAATCGCAAACCAATTCATTTATTGCTGCTGATGTTATCGTCCGCCACAGAATTTTTCGTCCCCTGCCTGGACAGCAATGAAGTAGTAAATAAACATTTTTAAATACTGTACCGACAAAGGAAGCGGGGTCACATTAGAGCAAGGAATTTGGATTGTGGGAAAAATTACATCCATAGAAATCGATAAGAAAGCTTTGACGTAAAAAAAAAAACAAAGATTTAAGCAGCGATAGAACAAATTAAAAAAAAATGCATGGAATATTCTTTGCCTTTCCGGTTAACACGGTGTAATGGCGGACGTTACAAATGGAGAGGAATGTCATATTTCGTGGTGAAGGTATATTTGAAAGATATAAAGGAAACAAATTTCAATTTTTTTATGTATCGCTCGTAAAAAGAAACTACTGAAAAGGATAAAACTGATGCAGGGAAGAGCAAGCTTCCATTTCCAATATTCAGAAGGAGTAACTTGTCGTGAATTTTATTTTCGAAGTTGTGAACAAAAAGGACAAAAATTTCAGGAATACTTCTCGTAATGGACAAAACAGATATACTCGGTACTGTAATACAGTATATTGTTGGACAGTATATTTATACTCACTCGTTGGGTTCATCCGACAATCCCAGCGGGTCGTCATCTTCCACTTCCTGCATAGCAACAGCTGCTGGGACGATGTTTCCTGGCATTGAGCTCGCTGTCATTCGCCGTCTCGGCGAAGAAAACTGAAATCTTTCTTCGATCCACACCGCAGATTCTGTCAAATTGTAACAAGAAAGACAGGTGAATACCTTGACAAAATCCATTCGTAGCGAAGCCCAAGGGACATATAATCTAAGATTGCATTCATAAAATCTGGACTCTTCAGAACCGTTTTTTATCCTGACTAATGACCAGATGCCGCCTTACGGATACAGATTTTGAATTAGATGATCTACAGTTGAACTCTCCATTCCAGTGCCAAATACAGTACAAAAAAAAAAGGATGATTAATATAAGTTTACTTCCCACATCTCCAAAATCGTCGTTATATCAGCATTTCGCGCGCATAAAAAATTATCTTCAAGAAACACCATTAAACGGATTTAAAATTCAAGAATTAAAACTCGGGTTATCGAAAAATCATGAGCTAATGAAGAAAATTAGTAGAAACTAATCCCCCCACCAACTGGCTTACATAAATCTCCCAACAGTAAAACTCCCCGTACAGGTGCCGAATTAAAAAAAAAGATACAATCAAAATCAACAAATAGAAAAAATATTTTTAAAAAACCATCGTCATATCAACAGGTATGAAGTGCTTTGCAAATTTCATTCAAAAAATCTCATCACACTGCTGTAAAATTCCAAGAATACGAAGTCGGGTTATCGAAAAATCATGAGCTAATGATGAAATTTGCAAAAAATAATCAAAAAAGAAACCTTTGAGTGGTCCAACGGCTTCCAAATAGCCATAGAACTTGACCATGCATGTTCCAGGTCCGCCTTGCTTTGTTGTAACGATGATGTCTCCTCTCCCTTCCCCGGCCCCAACACGGGCCAGGATTTTGTTCGGCGACTTCCATTCCGCAAATAGAGTGCAATCGACTCCACAAACCGTCAATTCTGCATTTTATTCAGGGATAGAACAGGCAAACAATAGTTGATTTCACGAAATCAGCCAGTTTTCATCACTTATTTCAACCTTGAGCTCTTCTTTTTTTTAATTTCAAGGTATGGGAATCCATAATTCATATATGAGGGATGGTTCAATAATTGTGTCAGTGCCAAGAAAGTGAGCTTTCTAGCTTAGAAAATGTTTGACTTGAGAATCCTTCAAGCAACTATGGGATTCTTAGAAAGATTTAAAGCAAGACTTAAAGTCAGTGGTTAAAATGGTTCTTCAACTGCAGCGCCGACCTGGTTGTTTTCACCAGTTGAAATTTCAGAGAAAACCCTTAGTATTCAGCGTCAGTAACACTCACATTTGCCAAGACCAGAACTTCTTCTATGCTTTTTTAAGGAAGAAGGTCGTCTGATCCGGGAATAAGAGATCAAAAAGCTTTTTCATCCCTTGAAATATTCAAAGAACTTCGAAGTGCATGATAATACATAAAGCATACAAACGTGGCAGGTAAACATGATTTTTTCACGAAGTTAGAGTGCTCTTTAAACTCTGGTTTCTCTACATTTAAACCATGTTCAGATCTAAAAATACTTGAATACTGTATAGATAAACTTGAAATTTTGACGCTCATATCGTTCCATCCAACACTCAAGGGTAGAAGAAGTGCGAAAATTTACGAACCAATCCTGACATGTGATCTACAAATTGTTGTTCTGTGCAAATTCCTTCATTTAAAAAAATTCCAGAGATTTTTCTCACGTATCAAATCATCGGCTTTTTTGCCGAAATTTTCGCCACGGATCGTTATCCGTGTTCCAGGAGGTCCCTCTTTCGGGGAAATCCCCGTGACGACAGGAACTGACATCACAGGTCACAACATTATATTTCACTACAAGACAAACTTTCAATTCTAGAACGAATGACAGAAGTATTCAACTGCACGAAATGGAGCACTAAGAAACAACGCATACTTTCAAATAACGAAGACAACTTTTTCAACCTTTCAAGATTTCTTTCTGAACGACAATCGTAAAACGATGCCTGCGGAATGGGTACGAAATTTAAAAAAAATTATGCATTCTCAAACAAAAGAAGCTTGAGAATCATGGCAGTCTTCGAGGAGAACCCGTCGGCACTAGAGGCATATTAGTTTGCATCGACTTCAGACAACGCCTTTCTTTTCTTCGGAGATACAGGAGAGTCGAGATCCATCAATTTCTCATTCTGCTCAGATGATTTCCTGGGTTCCGCTGTATTGTTTTCAGCATTCATGCTAACTCCTGTAGAGCCAAATCCTGCGGCACCACGCTCAGTTTCATCCAGATTCTGAAAATAAAAATCCCCACACTTGAAGGTGAAAACATCTATTTCTTTCTTCGAAGATAAAGTTTAATCGCGCAAATTAGTAGCTTAGAAGACGTCCGAAAGGTTGAGAAACGGGGCTCTTTTTACCTCAAGGTCAGATAATTGCCACTCCTTGATTACCAGCTTATATAATCACATAAGTGACAACTAACGTTGAGTTCTAAAATAAAATAGAATCCATGTATCCATCGATTGTGGTGTGAACGATCGAAGGCACAGGAAATCATTTTTTAAATGCACCCGGACAAGAGTACTGTACAGGAGAATCTCTTTACAACGACTTCATCTGGAACAATTTTCTTTGCACTGTATAATTTTTGTTTTACCCTACGGCTCTCTACCTATTCAATAGGGATTCTCTGCCATGAAAATATCTCTCCAACTCCTCTGGTCCCCTGAATTTATGTTTACAGGGAGTCCACCGGCATTGGTACCTCAGTAACTAGCGTTGGACCATGAAAAAAATTACGGCCCACTATTTGGCCGATATAATCTCTACATTAAAAAAAAGACACCCCTCTAATGATTCAAAACGAAACATTATTTATCCTGAGAACTTGAGAGTTCATCTTTGCGGCGTGTCAACTTCAGTGTTTACACGAAATCAAAGTAAAAAAGACAAGGATTAATCTTTATTTTCTTCCAGCACTCTCTCAAATTTTTCATTACTGTATATCTTAATGTTGACACAAAATGTCCTCAGAGAAAGGAATCACAAATGTTTCTCAATTTTTTTTTGTCTAAAAAGTTTGGTTTGATGACAAGGCTCGAGAACAATGGACAAACGAAATTTTCCCTCACACAAACAGTGGTTCAAATTTATTGAAAGAAGATTAGAAGATTACATTGCAACCAATGGAATGTTATCACAAGGATTAGCTATACTTAAATTTGACCCAAACAACTCGATTATCAGCTCATTTCGAATCTCGATAATAGATCAATAACCTGGCCCACACGAATGGCTCGACCGATGACAGATTTCAAGTTTTATGAAGCAATACGAAGGAAAAAATGCGGTCGACGCTCAATTAAAACACGAAAAAACCATCGCGCAAATATTTTTTCGTGCTCACCTGACATTCTTCCAACTCGGGGTACTCGATCTTTTGGCAGATAAACTGGGCAACCCTGTCTCCCCTGGTAACCGTGAAATCTTGCTCCGAAAAGTTGAACAACACCACGCCGAGATTCCCGCGATAGTCTTCGTCCACCACACCGGCTCCTACGTCGATGAAATTCTTCACGGCCAATCCGGACCTCGGTGCGACTCGTCCGTAGCAACCGGAAGGAACAGCGACCTGGATATCCGTCTTGACGAGAGCCTTGCCTCGGGCAGGAACAACGGTATCGTACGCGGCGTACAGGTCGTAACCCGCAGCAAAGGCCGAACCTTTCGTGGGAGCGAACGCCTTGTCCGTAAGTCGAGCGAACTTTAGAACGGGACGAACACCAGCGGAACCCATGATCGTCTCACAAGGTTTATGATCGGAAAAACAAGACAACTAACAAGATGAGGACGCAAACAAATTGTACGGTAGAATCAGAAAAACAACAGCTCAGTTCCTGCAACTGAAAAAAAACGAACAACTCGAATTCAGGTACTTGATAATAAAATCAAGAATAAACTGTCAATGCATTTCACAGCCTACAACAAAGGAAAAAATGAGAACTTGCCAGTCGAATCACATCATTATCAAATCGAATTGTTTAGAAATTTACAATACATCAGTTAAACACAATTACGAATCTCTCGAGCTTCACGCGTAAAAATCTCTAATACAGTACAACAAATACTAGAGTCAAAGTACTTAACAACATAATTGAAGCGAATAAAACGTGGACTTCGAAGGCAAAATTGAAATCCTCCCCCCCCCCCCCCCTCATAGCTAATGCAAAATCAATTCACGGAGAGCTTACAAATTTAGATCACGTAATGTTGAATCACAGTCATTCGAGGCCACGTATTCTTCATACACGCTGTAATAAAAAAAATTCAGGTTCCTCGATTAATGTTTTAAATATACGTCGAAAAACATCGGGATGTTGTGGAAAGAGGAGAAAATATCTGGCACAATCTCAAGCACCATAGATGTTTCGTAACTCGAAGATAATATTTACTTTGATTATCAAAAACTCTGACACTTTATTCTGGCAATTGGGTGGAAATTACGGAGAACCTCAAGGTAAAAGCCCCTTTTTACAGGTTAAAAATACGTATCATGATCGGTATAATGCCGGGACTTTTCATTGCGGTTTATACGGCCTCCAAGTAACTTTGACGAAGATGTCAAGATCATACGTTAATTAATCTCCGAAACATACGACATTTTTTGGGTCTAGCATCACGTTAATCCTCTACAGTATTACATCTTCCTCGAAATGGATAAACATTTTTGGGGGGGGGGGGGAACACGCTTGAAGTAAAGGGTACTCTTTCTATGCATGGATACGAAACGCTCACTGAAAAAAATTTAACATTTGAATTTCTTTGCGAAGAAATATCGTTTGGGCATTAAGAGAACCCTGTACTTTGCAAATTCTTGACGATTCAACTGGCAAGCGCAGCACTCGAACTCATGGAAAGATCGTAACGCAGCTTTCATTTTCGTTTCAAATTTCAGCCACATTCATTAATATATAATTTTTCATATATCCTCTTTATCACGAACTTCAACATCGATATCGATTCCCCGCTAGTGACCCAACACTGAAATTCGTCTTCGAAGCGAGCGACTCCTTTCAACATTTCAGCTCAACAGTAGTCCCATATCCCTTTACGTTTTTGTTCGTCGCAACAAAAATAAAACCCCAGTCCTCGCTGCTTCAACGTGGAAATAACAAAAAACTTCAAAACAAAGAATGAGAGGCACGGTATTTTTGTCGAAGATCAGGAAGAGATGAAGAAACAAAAATGGCAACCCGAATTCCACCATCGGATCCGGGAAAAACTAAATGCCCGACTCAAACACCGATCGCACTTCCGCCGATTGGCTCAAGAAGAATGAAACCGAAAAGCTCACAGTGATTCGTATGCCTATTTCCAACAAGCCTTTGGAAGTGAAGACAGTGTCGTTTTACAAAGCACAACCGTTGCTAAAAGGCTGCAAACATTCCAACTAAAATAGCAATTAACAGCTCCCGCCAATGAACGTCCACTCGGCGTCTTTCAAGGACTGGCACGACAATCCTCAACCGTTCCCCTCCGCGATGCACGGAAAAAATCACCAACCGCAAGAAGAAGCTTCACATCGACTATACAAGGTTGCTTTAGACTCGACGGAACATAACAAAGCAAAACCAAACATAGCGATTAGCTTCAGAAACAGCGATTGAGCAGATACTCATCCTTCAAAAACACATCAAGGCCTAAACCGTAACGAACCCTCAACTCATGCAATTTCAAAACAGGCAATCACGCTTCTTCATGAACAACCATATTCACTCGAATACAAGAACTTACTCGAAAAATAAACCAAAATATTGACGTGCAACTCATGCTTAATTACTAGAATCCTGAAAGGTCAAGTGAAACCTTGCCTCTAGTTTCGAAATTCTGATTAAACACCATATCTTGGAATACGAATTTTTAATCACTTTCTGGTCAACTATACAAAAGTAATAACCGTGATTTCCTTTTCAGCTGTCTGAGGATATTAGGCTGATCACCTAAGCATGAGCAGGATCAACAAACTCATGCGATTCTGAAGAAATTGAATACCACGAATACAGTAAGCGACTTGTGTTCGAGTAAATACGGATATTCAAAGCAAGTAGGATGGGGTCCTTCGCGCTAAAAAAGACGAAGGCATCATGCTAACAATTTGATCGAAGCACCGTACTTTTCCGCCGGATCAAGAAGTGCTCAGAGACGTGCGGTCGAGAAGAAAAGCAAAATTTTGTCAGATAATTCCCACCCGTCAACGAATTGCGCTGCTACACGTAATTTTCCTTCCTTATTCGATAACTTCCACATGATCATCGGTCTTGGGATGTTTCACTGGGGACTCGGACTCGCTTTCAGCATGGACGGCATGCCGTTTGAGATCATTCTTATCCGGCTCCACATCCGACTCATTCTTTTCATTGACTCCGCCATTCATTACTTTAGAGCTGTCGAAAATATCTTCAACTTGCGTGTCGCCATCAGTCGCCACAGGTTCAGCTCCTTCTGAATTTTCTTCCCTTTCCACGGGTCCATCCAACACAGTGACTATGGTGCCATTTTCAGATCCAGCAGACCCGCGGCACGGAACAAGTCTCTCGTCTTTGGCTCCGTGAAGAATCGCAAGGAACGCAAACCGGTACTGTTCTGATGTTTGAACCAAGCCCATCCGGAATTGGCGCATGGCGAGCAAGCATTCTCTAATGCTGACTTTCTGACGACCAGCGCCAAGCTCTAGTAAGAAAGCATCGACGAGACAGAACGTTCCCGATCGTCCGATTCCCGCCGAGCAGTGCACAATCGCAGGTCCAACATCCGGAGATAGAACTCCGGATTCCCGCACGGCCACTAGAAAATCCAAGAATTCCGCGGGAGTCTTCGGAGCACCAAAATCTGGCCATGTAGTATAATGGAACTGCGTGATGATGCGACCCGGTGGTAAAACTGCAGAATCACTAGTTTTCGTGACGGAGAACTTCCGCGTGGTGAAAACACTGCCGCTAACTTCCTCATCTAATTTAACCTGCAATGCATCCTCGGTAACATTAGCTACTCATAATGCACAAGACAAGTATATGGCTCTCACCATTATTTGGACGTCGTTGAAAGTGAGAGTAGTTCCTACTTTGTCCGGCCAGTACTGGAAGCATTTCGGTACTTTCTTCTCGAACAAGCCGTTCAACATGATGATGCCTTTTGATTTCTGCTGCCAAATCATGAGCCAGAAATGGGATGACGTGATCTCAAGCGGCCCTTGACTAAGAATGTAACGACGACCAACCGACGGGACCTCAACTAGGTTGGCATTCACATAATCGACTTCGAAATCGGAGAGAACAACCCGGCTGTGGTCATACGGATTCACATTTTTGTAGCGATTCAGTATTCGGTTTCGCGGCTTCCGTGCTTCTTTCGAAAAAAGTAGTGGATTCACAGATTCTTCCATAATCTTGGAGTAGACTTCATCCCAGCGGTTTGCACCATCTATTTCCTTGAATTCTGCGGTGAGGCGTGATAAAGTTTCTGCATCGAAACCAATCTGTGGTGGGATCGTAAGGCATGAAGTAGACAAGCGGTTCGCTGTGGCGTCAGCTGTGGCTTCATCCGGCGGTTGATCACTAGATGCCTGTTCCGTCATGTTCATCAGACGAGAAATAAGACGAACAAGTTGTTGGTACATCCAGGATGCAGCGGGAATCAGCCCGCCCGCCGAGCGGCAAAAAGACACGACCGTTTGTATATACGGCAAGACAAGAGGCATAGACTAGCTCTGATCTGAAATATGTAGAAGTCAATGCAAGGCAAAAAAAAAGTACTGCTAGTTTCCGGAAGATAATCCAACTCAAATTCAACACGATTTTTAGATAAATAATCACGCGGATTCCCACTAAAGGATGCAGGAACTTACTTTGAAAAACGGCAAAAATGTCCTCATCACTGATATAGCCGAACCACCACACCGGCAGAGTAAAATTTACATCAAAATTATTTCTGATAAATCGCATCGTTCAAAGCGCGTTCGTATTCACCCAGTCGTAACACCACACCTATAACTTTGCCTGCCTCGATATCTCTCATTGACTACAAGATTCTCTCGACATCGTAGGATTCCTTAAAAATACAATTGCGTGACCCTAGAGATCGGCGATTACTAGCACAACGCCATCATGAAACCTGTAACCCAGTTTCGCGCGCTTCACGCGAACGTATCTCAACACGACTGGGCTGGTGCTGAACTTCAGCAGGGCGGCGCACTAGCATTCCGCGCACTGTAACCAGGCATGGAAGATCCCACACGTGAAACAACGGGTGCTCGTGTACTGCTGTATTAGGGCCTCCCTCCGCCTCACCACACATAAGATATAAAAAGAGAAAATCACTGCAAAGGCTAATTGCTTCAAGGAAAACAACATTCGCCATGACCCAATAAATTGAGGAATTTTGCTTACAACCTTGATCACTTTCTAACAACAACCTCGACAACCTGACTCCACTTCTGCAAATTCCTTTGACTCTCATTATTGCTGTACATAAACTCATGTGTGAAACACAGAAAAGTACTGTACAGTGGCGCACACTCTCTATACAATCCTGTTCGTCATGGCTAAATGAAAGGGCAAAAGAGATTTTCCAGTGCTAAGGCAAAATTCGATGGAAAATGTGGTCCAAGAAAAGGAAATACAGTAAATTACATTATGTAGGCAAAATTATTTTGCTGAGATTTTTTTTACTGTTTTAGCAATACCTGTAGTTTAGCATCAGGTCTCACATGAAGATCAAGCCATTGACCACGAGCAACTTTCAGTGTACAAGAGTGAAACTTATGCAAGTAAAATGTGTGCAAGGAATTTTGTTTCAAGAGAAAAAAATAATGATCGAATTCAGAAAATGAAGATGGATTAATTTTAGTAAGGACTTCACGTATAATATGTGGAGGCCAAAACAAATTAAAAGGGAATCGCTTTTCTGTTCAGGACTTCATTTTGCTGGTCTCGGAATTTTCAAGATTCCCTTTGAATTTTTCACGCTTTCTTCAACAGCTGAATCTCCACACTAATATTGTTTTCCTAAGTGCTATCATTTTGATACCCCGCATGCATAAAATCATTTAGGCGAACATGACCATGCACGTCATTACTTCAAAAGCTATTCACTTATTTTTATTTTATTTTACAAGTAGAACAGCCCTCTGGAGCTGGCCACGCAAAAATTAATTTGTGGCAGCAAATCACTTGCAGCAGATGATAAAAAATCAACGTTTCCCGATACAAAATAAAAACAAATTTATTTTCTAAAACTCCGTGAAGAGGAAGAAATCACACGGCATTGCAGAACGAACAAAAAACGAGGCACAAACCCCACGGCGACGGCACTTCTACAAACCAGGGAATCCGCCGCGTGACCGAGCTTATGCACTAAACGCAATTTGAGTGCACTTCCCCCATCCGCGAAAAAGCATCTATAAAACCCGCGGAAAAAAAAAGAAAGCATCACCAACCCGTCAACACGGAAAGAGTTACCTTCCAAAAACCGGACTCATTTCAACCGTGAAATGATGGGAACATTTATTCATATGCAGGGTTGACTCACGCGCTACCAGACCCACAAAAACTTGAATATTTCAGACAGCTATGAACATACAAGCTTGCAATTTGTGTCAAAGGAGAATGGGGCAGTGAGAAACAAGGGGGGTCTTGGAATCTTTCCAACAGGTGTTTGGCGCATGGGATAGAGAAGGGGGAAATGTTTGGCTTTTTCTGGACTGGCACCTGCATTGAGAGGCGATGGCATCGCATCCTCGGAACAACTACAAGTATTGTCTCTCAAAATGAGGGACAGGAGACGGAAAAATTCCGGCATCCTCAGGAGAACAGTATGTAGATCACAATTGAAAGTCTGATTCGATAAAGACCCGAATATGTCCTAAAACAAAATCTGTCCAACTTGTTCTTTTCCACGAGCCACATGCTGTGTTTTATCAAGGCCATAATTTTAATTTCCCATTTTCAGCTTGATTTTTAAAATTTCATACTCATAACTGCCCAAAATACCGTGGTCATGTTTTGTGAGTCCATCTACTCATGAATCCCTCTACTGCAAAATTCAGAAGTTCTCTCGGTTGCGTAAATCAAAAATTGTTTCATCTAAAAAAATCTTTAAAAAAGCCATCCGGTAGCTTAATCGTTACTTTGTTAGTAACTGTAAGTTTTTCTCTCAATCTTGATGAAGAGATCGCGTCTCTAGCTTATAAAGCATCACATAGTTCTGCATCGTTTCAGATCAACCGAGGGAAAAATAGCGAAGTTCGCCATAATGCCGTTAGGAAATCAGACGGAAGGTGTACAGTTTTTGTCTCCCGAAGAATACGCTTCACAATTGAAAAAAAATGTACGGCTTCTTCAGGTACTCTTACAAAACTTAAAACGCTCAAAAAATATCATCGTTGTACGTAACCAGTCCGCGTCGTTCCTGGTGGATGACAGCCGGGGCGGCCCGCGCTGAAGAGGCGGCGATGGTTGCCCAGGCTTCGGCCCCCAGCGGCGGCTCCGGTGCACCGATCTTCGCTGCCGCGAGGGCCTCCGGGTCCACAATCGGCTGCCGCCGCGCCAAAGAAACCCGCAGCTGCACGTCCGCAAACATAGATCCGTTCATTTCCGCGATGGCGGCTTCCGCCATTTCTGCACGGGCAAATGTAACGAAGCCGCAGTTTTTTTCCGCTTCCGTCGACACGCTGAGAATGACTCCGAAGGAAGAGAAGGCGCGTCGGAGGATGTCTTCTGATATGTTGTAGCCAAACACGTAGATAGTATTGCCGGTGCGACGTTCGCCGCGTCTTTGGCTCGGACGGCCGTCGGGAACAGAGGTGAGAACGGGTTGTGGCGGCGGTGCTTCGACTGCGGCGTCCATGTCCAAAGGGATAGGAGGACCTGGGCGTCGCAAACCGTCCGGACCCTGATTTTCAACAAAAGAAAACAAATTGAAATTTTGTTGCAGCTACATTGGTAGTCTCCGACGAAATTAGCCCGTTCCAAGAGGTGTTTAGTTGAAGGCGGTATTCGACACATGAGACAATGTTTCAAGACTAATTTATGATTCTAGCATAAGCAAGACTCCACTATAAACAATAAACCATCTACATTCCTTTTGATCACTACATTAAAATACCCAACAAACCGCACAAAATCTTGAGCGAAACAAATGATAAAATATGAGAAGCAGAACAATTCGAGAAGAGATTTTATGCAGCAAAAAACTGTCTTAAATGCAATCTTCTTACTTATTCCATAGTGGTTTCAAATATTCTGACTCATAAAATTGCCTAATCCAAGACCGAACGAAGGTTGTCACAATTGGACGCAATCTTGGTCATTTTCGGATTTTTCATAAAAGTAAAAAAAATATTTTTAACCCAAAAAGTTGATAGGTTTCGGAATTTTTTTTCTTCGGATTTTCAATTTTTTTTTCAATTTACTGCATGATGGTAAGTGAAAAATTTTCAGTTGCAGCCCAAGTACTCCACTCATGTACTAAAAATTTTTCTGGAGATCTGAAAGTTGAAGTTTTTTCTTCTTTAAACCATTACTGTATATGCTTTTTTCGTTTGAGGTAATGGTAAAAACATCAAAGAAATTTCAATGTTCAGCTCGTTTTCACTCATCATGCACTAAATTGAAAAATGTTCGGAAAAATTCCAAAAGTGTAAACGTTACTGGGCTGAATCAAGTATTCTTTTACAGTCATGCCTATTCTAGAAATAACCAAGGTCGCGCCCAAGTGGCAGAACCCTCGTATCCCCTGATAATGACAAAACTTCCAAGCATCCCGGTTCATTCCAGCACAGCATTAGACTGCGCCGCACAGAAGGAAGCATTTCCACACGTTTTACGCAGCGAAATTTTCTTGCACACAACACACTAACTCGTGCATATCAATAGAGAATGGTTACACTTCCAATCGGGAAGTAAAGTGGAGTACAGAATGTAAATCCTTTCATCCCTCACCCGTTTGCGATTGCGATTCCCTCTCGGATTCTGCCGCGGAGTCGCAGACGGAGGCGAAGGATCCAGAGGAGGAAGCGTAGGGGCCTGCTTCGGACGGGGTGTGTTATACGGCGGAGATCCAGCAGGGTGGGGACTCTTGCTTAGCCTCGACTCCACACCAGATAATTTTCTCTCTAATCCAAGGGATCGCTTGAACGTTGTCTTCTCCTCTATGGAAATAAGTTGAATACTGTACTGTAAATAACAGAGTATATAAAGATTTAAAACTAACTTTCACGAAATATGAAAATCTGAGATTAATTTCTAGTCGGGCACTGATGGCAAACAAAGATGAAATTGTTTCATGAATACAATTCGAATCCAGAAGCCTCAACAATGTTTTTTTTTCTCAACAAAACAAACAACAATGGAAGAGACGAGAAAAAAAAGCAAGATGAACTTCGTTGGGTTCATCACACAAGAGCGATAACAATAGAAAGCCGCACAATCTGTTGGAGAAGCTAAACCATATCCATTTGCCAACATAATTTCCCGAAAATTAGTCTAGTTTTTCTACGAGGAGGATACTGCATTAACAAATTAGCATTGAATTTTTGCCTGAAAAATTGACTAAGTTAATGGATTAACTTCCTTACGAAGAAAAAAAAACTGTTGGTATCCTCTACAAGTCTACACTCCCTGAATCTGGAATTTTTGTGCATTTTAACTGGATAGAAAAAGGACGTGTCTTCAAATTACTGGACGAGCGGTGATTTTCATGATAAATCAACACAATTCAATGTTGTCTTTGGAAGAGCTGGAAACCTTCTAAAAAAGAAGGATTTTTCGGCAATAATTTATATATTTTTATAATACGTAACCATAATAAAATTACACGGTACTCAGATTCAAGGAAGAATGTCGCCTATTCTCACCAAGAAAATGTTTTTTTTTTATATTTTGAGCATATGCCAGACCAAAATACAGCATAGAAAATTATTTTTCGAAAAAGCGTCTTGTTAAATTGATTTCTAACTTCAAAACTTGAAAAATTGAAATTACCACTGAAAATTAACAAATAACGCGATCATCTGTCGGCCTTGAAATTAAAAATATGATCGTCATTTCAATGATTTGAGACTCATAAACTTTAGCCCTGCCCCCTGTACTATAGATTATTTCACGAAGACGGAACTGAGCCTGAAAAACTATTTACAGGATGTTTATCGCAGAAATATTCATGCCACGAATTTATTTACGGTCCTGGCAGACATGAAACGCTTCTTTATAAATAAATGAATGTATTAGTAGAAGATTTTTTACAATACTTCGAATGACTACATGCTTCGCTTTTGAGTCCAACCGCATTGTCTCACTCATTGTGACACTCATTATTTTCGACTGATATAAATTAAATACTGCATCTTCACGAACAATTTTGAAGCCATTTGTGAGAGAAAAAAATGTAAAAATCTGAAAAAAAATCCAGGAAAACACTAACCTGGCTTTGGAATTACAACGATTTTTCCCGTGAGCAACAGTTTCTTGGCGAATTCCTTCGCATCTTTGCCCTCGATGGGTCGTTTCTTACTGCTGATAACTGGAACTTGCTCGGGTTCCACTTTCGGCGTTTTTAGCGTCGTTAGCGCTTTTTTCTGCTCATTGAGAAGACCTTCATGACATCAAGTTGAGCAACGATGAAATTTGCAACGCCCACCTTTTTTCTCAGTTTCTGATACTTCGCCTGAAGCATCAACTCCTCCTCCGTCAACTGAGAAGGAAACGCGAGGAACACCATTCTGGCACTTCGTCACTTGAGTACCTTCACAGAACATGAACTGAATTATTCATGAAACCCGACGCGCTTTCGAAAACGAGATTATAACAGTGCGCGTTTCCTCCTTCTTATTTTTTCAACTCATGCACAGAAAAATACCGCTGTACGGAACAACGCTCCAGAAGCCGCGTTCAAACTTCAACAGTGACAAAGCATCAATGAAGAGCAACTCGGAACAAAATCAACGAAAAACAATGCACACGACGAAAAAAAAACAAGATCAACCGCGTTGGCTTTATCACACGGGAGCGATAAAAACAGAAAGCCGCATAACCTTGTTGGAGAAGCTAAGTCACATAAGTTCATCACGATTGTAAATATCCCCTGCAAAAAAAGAAAAAAAGAGTCAGATTTTTCCAAGAACCTAGAAAACACCTGTGAAAATATTTACGGTAATTTTATACGCATAAAGATCCAACACGCGAAGAATGACAGCAGCACCATGATGAATCCCAATGACGTCAGCATAATACGACGCTTGGCAGTCAACGAATCCAAAGTTCGATCAAAAATTATGAATCCAAGACCTCCCAGAATATACATGAAGCTGGACGCCAGCCCCTCCATGATGTATTGTCCATTTATCCGGTAGGGCATAATGGCCACCTGAAATTAATCGATTCCACATATTAGCCAAACATAATCCTTCAGATACGAAGCGGTTTGCGTAAAAAAAAACTTATTTATGTCCCGCTTCGGTTTTAATAGTCATCTAAATTTCAGCTACGACTCCAGAACTGGAAATTCGACGCATTTGATTGAATTTTGATCAGTTATGACATCATTAGGGAAAAAATGAAACTTACCGGTTTTGAATGCCCGTGTTCATCGGTGGTTGAGCCAACACTTGGTGGTTCCACAATCACATCATAAATAAGACCTGCGAACACAGAATATTCATGAACATGCACGATGAGGAAATCGCTCAAAAGAATACCTTACCTCCAGTCACGAGGAAATAAGAACACAGGATCAACGCGAACACGGTCATTGTCGAGGGCTTATGAAACCATGAGGGCCGTTTCAGCTTCAAATTTGGTACTTTCAGCACCGTGAATGGGAGCGCGTATAGTGCCTTCAACATTTTTATAGGCTGAAATGTTTCTGCAAAATAAACAGAATTTTAAAATCTCCGAATGAAGAGGAAGGCTCAGACTACAAGGGAAACCAACTCTCTCGAAGGATCACCGAGTTTCAGTCTCGGAATTAAAAGACGCAAAATTACGGAAGCACCGGAATCCCTCTTGGTGCTTTTTATTCATCATTACAGTATAACAGGAGTGGGATTTACGTTACAGATACAATTAATAGCATTAATTCATCTCAGATTGCACCTATATTTCGCAGTTTTTCAAGAATTTTGTATGCGTTTACAAGAGGCAGTCATTTGCCTCACAGGAGTGCAGGGTATTGTTCAATTCTTTCATAAAACAAAGACAAAGATCACCAAAAATCTGCGACGAAGTAAATCTCTTTGAACACTGTCCGTTAACGAGACTGACCACAAATGAATGCGCAAAGATTTTCTTATAAGTGAAGTGAACTTTGATGTCGAACAAGTACCTGTAGAATATCTCTTACTTTCGTCAACAGTGATATTCTTCATACAATGGACTTCTCATCCTTGGTCCAACTAGGTGATCAACAAAAGTATGCCAATAAAGAAAGGAGTTTCTTTAGGACAAATTATTCATTGGAGCCTTCGATTACTTTTGCGGACAGTCAACGTGTTCAATGAATCTCGACTTTTTCAAGGAAATATTGGGGTTAATTTTCAACTACGCTTCAACATTATCCTTCGAGGAAAATTATCAGCTGGTAAAATATTTATGATTTAAACCAACACACTTCTTTGAACTACAGTACCTGATGAACTAGTAGTTTATTTACGATCTCAAGACGCAATTTATTCTCTTAAGTAAAACTTTCTTCTCATACTCGCGTAAATAGGGTATTTATCGTTTCCTGGAGGTGCTACACGCCTTTACGGAGCCCATTCAAGTGACGCTTCGAGTGTCGATACGATGAAATAATTAGATTCTCGTCAGCGATAACGGATAAATTCTTCAGTATAGCTTCGCGGAACATCGATAAACGCATCTGTCTTCTCGGAAACATCGACTATTAGACCGCTGCGAACGATATGCCTAGCCCAACACGAATACTTTCTTTCTTTCGTCGTTACGCACATAAATCAACAATCAGCAAAATAAAGGCGAACATCGGCGAGGTGCCGACAGGAAGCACCCGCGCACTCGACAACGACATACTCGAGAATTGCAACTTGACCAGTCGCGAAAAAGAAAATGACAAAGACCAAATGTCACAACCCGGTTCACGGCGTTTCATCAAGTGGTGTTCCGAAAAAAGAAGCTCATCCATTTTTACATAAAAAATTATGAATTTTCAACATTTGATCCAGGTACACCCTTTCAACCGCGACAATAATTCTCCTGAGAATAACCTCTTTGTAACAGTTGATAAAAAAAAACTCGAAATCAAGGATATAATTTGGTAATGTTTTCTGATAACTTCAGACGTTGTACTTCACCATTGGCACCTGAGTGCAGCTTCCAAATCTAGTTTTTTTCGTTGAAATCAAACATGACTCTTGGTGAAAATTCATCGAACAACGACGAGAATCCATTCTTCGGATTACCACCAGATGAAACTTTTTGATAACCGCCGCAATCCCAAAAGGAAATTTCATTCCGGTTCATAGCAACACAAAGCGCAAAAATATCGAAACGATCTCACCACTTTTTTTTTTTGAACGCAGGTGCGTAACAAACGCCAGGACAAACATGAACTGTCACAAATAATGGCTTCGAAATCACATGGAAGCATCAACGGTACACATTTGCACGATTTGCCTTTCGAATATGTCGAAAGAAACATATGGCTCAAACATGACCTTCGTGCGATTCGCAGTTTGACAAAAAGCAGTGCTGAACACGAACAACAAAACCATCACGAAAAACGTTCCTCTGAACTTTTAAAAACGCATAAAATTAAAATCCTTGCATTTTTTTCATTTGAATGGCACATGCACGCGACGAGAAAATGCTGGATAATTCCAATATAAACTGAACAAGCCATTTCTTTCATTCTTCGTCATTAGTTCTCGTATGTTTTGTTCTTTTTCTAAAAGCTCAAAGTAAATCGAAAAGCACGAACTCTTTTACGTCACAACATCAACGCTCTGCTGTCATGTACATTTCAAGTCTTGTACTTCCCATGTTTCGTCATTAAAAGTTCGTCGTCTCCGCGCAACAGCAAACGAGAAATCACATCCATGCAAGCTTTTATACAGCTCTGAATCGAGCTTGAAGCACCCAAAACGTCACAACTAGGATTCTTGTTTCATGCTGACACTCCTCCAACAGTTCAACAGGGACAAAATGCAGTTGATACGAAAGCTTAAACGTATGTAAACTTAGCAATGATGCATTATTGAAAAGGAAGTTCATTTGTCATCGATCAGCGTCTGTAATTGCAGCACGAGGTCTCTCGCGAGCTTCAAGACGGCGTTGACATTGTGATGCTCCGCCATTTCTGCAAAACACATTTTTCAGAAAACATAAAACGATTCAATAGACAGTAAGCATTTCTGCATCATTTGAAATGAATGATTCTATTCCTTCGAATTCACTGTTGACAAAAAGCACGCATTTCAAATCTTCCATCAACGTTTCACGTCCTCGATTCCATGATTAAATTGCTGTTACATAGGTGCCACCTGCTGTGTATCAGGTTTAATTCAATTAAATTTTTATTAACTACGTCACAGACAAAATTTTGAAGCAATTAACCGATGTGACTTTATGAGTAAATCATCCTGAACGAAATACAGTAATGGATTTCATGAAGAAGAAAAAAAAAGCTCATGATAAGCATCAAAACGAACCGTTGAAGAATTTGATGATGTCTGTGAAGTCCATATTGTTGTCCAAAATTATTTCCCTGTAATACTGAACCAACGCCATGGCAATGAAAAGGAAAAATTGAGGTGAGGCCACTTGTCGCGCAGCAGCGATGATTTCCCAAACCCGATAAACATCATCGTAAACCAGCTCTGAAAAGATCAAAATACAATTTTAACTTCGTTATTGAGTGACCAGAAAAATAGAAAGCAATTCAACACACCTCTTTTAAAATCCAACAAAAACCAGCGGTAACAGAAGTAGAAATGCGTGTAATCGCCGTTCTGCTGCATCAACTGATACATTTCGCTGTCGAGTATTTGGATTAACGACCTGTACATGATTTTACAGCCCAGTATTATAGCGAACGCATTTTTCAGCCGGAATCAACACGATTGACAGCTTACCTCATATTGGCAAAGTGATTATCCATCTGTCCTCCGTTCGGAAAATTGTGTTGCATTCTCATCATCAAATGACAGAAGCACGAGTACGTCAGTGGCTCTTGGTCGAATGTAACAAGCAACGGTGCCGCCAAATCGCACATCCCCTGAAGATAACCGAATTCTAGGTGCTCCCAGACGTACCTGCAACAATTAAGGGAAATTCACTTGAACTCCTACAAAAAACCAAAAGCATCTACGCCGTGGTCACAATGGTTTACCTCAAAAATCTCGCAACAGACCTTATACTCGAAGTCTAAGACAAATACAACTTGAATGAACATGAGACAAAAAAATCGCGTACGTGCACATAATGTTGCGTAGTTTCTGGAGATTTTCCGGGGTGAAGTACCAATAATTCCTGTCGCATCGCAGAACATCTTTTTCAATTCGCTGAAGGTTACAGCCGAAGTTCTCCAATACGTCTTTCTGCGGACACAAGTGAATAAAAAAAACGAATTATTAAGAGGTGAAAACACGCCCCAGAAGTAAAAATTCTGATCTTCGAAAACACATGGTTTTCATCAATTTTTCGTAAGATTCCCTTGCTCAAATATAATCTCTAAATAATACGATTGCGAAATAAATCTGTCTTCATTTGTTTTTATCCCTCGCTACAATCCCAAACCTTCCCGACTTTCTTTGCCAAGAAACGATTTTGTTTCAATTTTTTCACGTTTATTGCTTAACGCGATTCACGCGACATAAGCCTGATATTCTTGGAAGTAAAGATTCACATTGACGGCAAAAAATATACTAATGTAGTGAAGAGATAAATCCGAACATTACCGAAAAGACTTCACCCTCTTGAATGGAAGATGAAGAGGAGGAATCGGCAGATGAGGTCGACGACAAACGCGTGGACGCGGGTTTCGTACCAGCAACGTCCTGAGCAGCAGAGGAAGCAGAAGCGAGGAATTTTCGGCGTTGATTCACAGGGGACAATGCAGGCGACGACGAATTATCATCGTCCGATTCAAACGGCGGAGACGAACACGACGATCTTTCTTCCTGGATTGGCGACGGAAGCTTACCAACTTCCGGCTTGACACTACCGGAACCGTTTCCTAAACTCGTCGCAAATGCTGGCGAGGCGGGAGTTTCGGTAGCTTCAGTATCTTCTTTTGGTGCATCCTTCGACTCGACCTCAGCTTCTGTCTCAAAAACCTTGGGAGACCACAATCCATTTTAAAATATTGATCGATTAAGGATATTCAACTTGAATCAAAACATCAATTTAGAAACAGACGAAAATACAGTCCCCATTCCTATCCAAACTTACATCAAAGAATTTTTAAAATTCTCTATCAGAAATGCTGCATTTATCGCGCGCTCTTTCCCCCCAATTCTAGTACTGTATCTCCTTTCATTCAATACAATTTTTTCTAATGCAGTATAGTATCTAGATGCCATATTGCATGAATATTTGCAGAAAGCTAAATATGCGAGCAAAAATTCGAATTCTTTCTTGATTCAGCCAGTTTTCTGTAATTAATGATTCAGGATCTACCCTACATTGTTCCTGACGAGGGGAAAACGTATAACAAGATAGAAAAAGTAATCACGTGACATTTTTTGCACAACTTTGTTATTCCAGTAACGCCTACAATACGCTTGAAAACTGTACGAAATAAAAATTATTCTCATATCATCGTTAAACCGCAGAATTTCTCGAACATAGATCGTCGGATGTCGACTTACTTCGTTGCTCAAGCTTTTCCCAACTTTCGTGAGAACTTCTGCTTTCGCAGTTCTCGCCGAGGACGTCGAACTGGAAGTGGTTGAAGATAAAGTGCGACGGGCTCGCGCAGTCTGTTCACGTTCGCGCTGTTTCACGATTGCTTCTGCCGCTGTCCAGTCTGACATAGTTGCTTCGAAATGAGCCTCGACCGCCACGTCGATCGCCTGGCGCTCCTCTAACGTCGAACTAAACTGATAGTGTCCCATAACGTAAGGCCAGACATCCTTGCGAACTTCCGGATCGATCCCGCCGAAGTAGATCAGACGATAAATTTCAGACGCGGGTTCTTTAATTCGACCTTCCGGACCGTCTCTCATCTGCTGCCAGATAGCTTTTGTAAGTCCGGCACTCGCATCTTAAAATTCAGAGAAAAAACAGGAGTGGTTTTAATGCTTGAATTAAAGTTAAATTCAACCGAGAACAACATATATATTTTTGACAGAATCACCGATAAAATTTACGGAAAGGGAAAATTATTCAACTAACTCAATTTCAGATTACCAGATGAAATCATCTTCACTCAGCAGGTGACATTTTCCTACATATCTCGGCGAAATTTTAACGTTAGGAGGTTTGAGCAATATGTCAGAGGTTGAACATCAAGTCTCCATTTCTTTTACCATAAAATCAAGAGATGGCTTTCAGTAAAAAAAAATTACTTTCTTGGAGGTACTCGGAATCACAAGTTCTCTTTCAGTGACAAAAAATACAGTAGTGACTTCTTTCTAAAATACTGATCCTTGTTAAGCTTTTGCGATCAGGTTTCCATTATAATCCCGTCAAACTTATTTAACTTTTGAAACTTTATATATCTTAATAATAACTTACCTTTCGGCTCACCGGACGAAACCGCAGTTGGATAAACAAGACCTGCAAGGTGCTTCCTGACAGTTTTCAGATGACGGCAATGGGCCAACCAACCACAGAATGCTCGCGACATGATCTGATGCTTCATTCTGTCACAAACCAACTGGATACTGTCCCTGAAATTTAAAATTGAAGCAATGGCGTTGAGATTTTCTTTAAAGTACCAATACAGTATGTTGAACTGATCCAAATTCTTCACCAAATATTAGTTCTTTCAGAACGCTCTTCTCGCATGAGATAATTCTGAAGTGAGCATCAGTTACTATTCAATCACCTAAATTTAAATAGAGCCTTAGATACGTATCAAAACAACTGTTTTTTTCTTGTACGTTGCCTGAGTTTAGAATCAAGTGCCACAATTTGGCACAACAAAATTTAGCAACAGTCAAGCAGAACGAAAAATTATCAACATCAATAAACTCGTAATCCTGATAACAGGAAAACGCGATTGAAAAGGATTGCCCCTAGAACTACGTACGTCAAAGGAATCTTTTTGACCGACGAAAATATCGTCGCAAGTACTCGTCACAAACGAGCAATTCCGACGGCAGTTCCGAAGACTTACCCAGACGGCTGAAGCGGGGGACGATTTTCTCCTTCGTGAAAGGACAACGACTGTGACGTTGACGTAGATGAAGTCGACGATGTCGAAGCAATCGCTCCAATCCTCGGCGTTTTCGGCAACGGCGATGTCGGGGCGGTGAAAAACCCGGCCGGTGTGCGAGGAGAGAGCGCCGAAAACAAGCCGGATCCGGAAGACAACAACTCTTCAGGTTTACCCACAGGCTTCATCACTAGTCGAAAGACGTAATCTCCCGAAAGACCGCCCGTTATCGACTTGACGTCTTTTTTCGGACAATCCGTGACACTTGCTTCCGTAGCATCATCAGGCTGTTCGAAATCTTGGAATCTACCTTTTTCTTCTTCCGTAACAGGGACCAGGGTGGCACCTTCTACGCTTTCTTTACCACCGGGTCTTCGAAGCAACGGCTTCGCTTTACCTGTAGATGAAAGCAGAAAACATACGTACCGGTAATAGCGACAATCTGAATAAGTGTTCCAGTTCACGAGGAGAATGACGTGAAGTACTTTTCTGTACTAATCCCGTTTCCGGGATCATAGTTTGTTCGACAGGTGTCGCTCTAAATCTTAGACCTACCTTCACAGAACTACATCGATACCCTAGATTAGAACAGGCCATTTTGGAGAACGACTGAATCAAAGTCTTATCTGAGACAGGAACTCTCATTTCATCTAACATATTGGTGCTTCAGCCAATTTCGACTGTAGCAATTCGCTTAAAATCCAGCAGCGACGTTTCCACAGGTTTAGACTTCAGATCACGATCGTCAATCAGACTTCCAACGAATTTGTTCTTCAAAATAAAAATAACCGCACATGAATTAAACTTAATTCGAAATAAGATTTAGGCAAGATTCAAGTAAAATCACAGATTCGGGGAAACCAGAAAGAAAAATATTTAAAAAAATTAAAAAATTTTCTCTGGACCTTCTTCGTCGGTTTCTGACCACAACGGTGGATCAAAAAATCCATTCGGAGCTAGCCCAGTTTCAAGACAAGAAAGAAACGATAACAAGTGTCCTCCAGGCGGAAAATGGATTGGTGGTCTCTGTACTCCATCCTGACCAACCAGCGCCAAAGTTCCTCCACCAGCATCTAAAACATTCCAAAATTATCAATCAACTAAAAAGTCAAGAAAAAAATCTCGGAACAACGAAAGCTCATGAAGCAACGCAAAAAAAAAAAATGTTGCTGCAAAAACGCAAAATTATTCAAGCATTCCACTTGAAAATATGCCCGAATAACCACAGGAGTGAAATAACGAGGAAAAAGCAAATTAGAAGCAGCCTCATGCGGAACACAGAAGCAAGAAACCAAGGAATCAAACGAACCGACGAACACCCGCTCACCAGCGAACTGATGACAATGAAGATAAACGAGTTCGCTGACCCTGATGTTCAAGGCGTACTCCCAGTATTTACTGCGCAATCCCAGTGTTTTTCACGCAAGGTGACAAGGACAAAAATAACAGAGTCATGGGTGAGAAATTAGCCATCAATCGCATCACATGGAGTTCATGAGCTTTCTTCAGTGAACGTTCGGCAGAAATGTGAGGCACCATATTTTTCACGCTCACGAAGTTTTCGAGACGAGATTTCCCTCTTTTCTACTACATCTGAGGTTATCTGCATCTGTGCGATTATCATACAGAGCAGAATAATGCAGGTTAGCAACTCCCATTTTTCTACGTTCCCCTTGTTGTTTGTAGACTCAATCTTGAACTTATTTAGATGAATCTTCGCGAAAATTTGCACATCAGCAATTGAAACATTTTAAAACACTCTTCTATCAATGCAGGAAATGGCACCGATAAGAATAGGTCCCAAAAAATATTCTCTCATGGAAAAAAGCAGTGGAAGGTCCCGCGACAAAATGTCCCCGCGGGAGGCGGGGCAACGCGAAAAACCGGCAAGAAAGTTATAGATCAGTCAGCCCATGCACGCAGATGCACACAGACCAGAAAAGCAACACCCTTTTTTGTCTTCTACCTGTGGTAATACTGTACTACACAGTACTTCTAAAGAGTAGGGTTGGCCGGCATAAACACTGATCCACATAAAATGTCGATCAGTGCCTTTTCCACATCAGAATGAAGAGAAAATCGTTCTCTTCAACCTTCGGATGCCTTTCCCCAAAGTAAGCTTAATTCACAGTCCACATTTTTTTCAAAAGTTTGAATTCAGAGGAGTATGTTAGTCTCTTGTTCTCAATGAATCCTTCGTCAGTTCTGGGAACCCTGAGAATATTCCGTGGATCCGTTTTAGACAGAAAATTTTCAGTGAGCAATAGGATCTTTGATAGGAGAAAATAAGGCTTGCAAGGTCTTTTGCGCATTTGCGTCAACTGATAATCATTACCACCCCACTTTGTCACGTTGTACCGCCTCCTCGCGGGGACATCATTTCGCGAATACCTTTGAATTGGGAACGTATCCTTCGGGAGAAGTAGAATCCAAGGATGAAGTAAGCATTTATGGATGGAAAAAATATGTAATACTGTACAGTAGAACTCCGATTATCTGGCTATGACCGAAATTTCATTATCAAAGAGAAAGCGAAGTTGAATCATATCATGTTGATCTGCGCAACTCTTCATCATCTACACCTGAAATTTCGTACGGGGATGTTTTCTATGGTTACTCTTGAATCGTTGTATTCCTTCCTTGCGGTTATTGGTTGAATACAAATTTCGGCAAGGTATTTGATTTTCTGTAGCATACAAAATCCAGAAGAAAGCAATCGGAGTTCCGCTGCATTTCAACTTTCAAATACCGATAAATCGGAATCGTCATCATCCGAATCCTTGTTTAAACTATGAAACGAGGGTTATTGGGAATATTGATGTTATGAACGAGTTTCAAATGAACGGGTACAAATTTTCAAACTAGATATGCTGTAGAAGACATTTGACCTTGCACAAATAAATCACAAATTGCCGACGAATTCTGCTCTAGAAAAAAACTCTCATTTCAGTATTATTCAAATCGTGATCCCCTAAAAGATTGACTGAGCTACTTCGTCATGTAAAGTGAAGAAAATAAATCAATCACACGTCAGTCGACAATCCAAACTAACTATAATGAAATTATCTCAGCAGCTTTCTAAACTACCTTTTATCGGCTCCATCAGGCACGTCTGCAGATGAAGGCGATACAGCCGATCCATTCTGAAGAATGGTCGCAGACGAAGAGGAGTCCGTGCCTTCAGAAATCTCTTGATCTTCCCCACCAGCACTCATCATCTCATTCGGTGTCCAGCGGATGCTCAGACTACCAGATGCATTCTGGTGCAGCGATAAATAACCCGGCAATGGCTTCACATCCGGTCGCTAATTGAAGGAAGAGCAACACGTTTCACATCAATACATTAAACGCAGGAGAATCTGCTGCCGTTTATGTCAAGAGGATAAACGTGTTCAACGAATTTTTCTCAAGAAAAATGTGTGCCCCCCCCCCTCCCCCAAACATTCGTGTAACCATGCTACAATAACCAAGTCATGAAAAAAACAATGAAAAACAAGTCAAGCATTCTTTTGCGAAAATAATAAGAGCAACTGTTTCCTCGCATTTCATAAAATTTTCTGAAAGGGTAAGGAAAGAAGCAGTAATCTTACTATCATACTATTTTTTTTAAAGTTCGGAGGCCAGGCTCAAATAAATCGAACATTTGCAAAAAGCTTGTAATGCAAAGAATCGCCTTTTCTTATCGGGATTGATTTTTTTTGGGACCACGTTCCGAGAGAATTTTTTTTTATAGATCCTAATCGCTCGGAGTGAACCTGCACAATTATTTTTAGACTCTGAACCAACATAAGAATAATGTTCCCCGGAACACTTGCGTACTTTCTTAAAGTTGAAGGATTTTATAATAACGGGAAAAAGAAGTAAAATTTCGAAGAGAGGGACCCTGAATTCGCTGTGATCTGGTTTATGGCGAAGAAAAACTATTAGACAAGTCAGCAATTATCTTTACTGATGCTGGCAATGTGCAACATTCCACATGAAAGAAGCGAAGCATCAACCCAGGTAAAGAAAAAACACACACTTTTGCTATTGCTACTCTTCTGGGGCATTCATACTGTACCCTGGCTTTCCTTAAAGTTCCAACGGGGTCTTTCACAAATAAATATGTAACCAGTATTTCTTGATGAAAAGAAGTATTCTGTTACTTCGCAGCTGAAAAGCTAAAGAGGAGAATCTCAAGGAAGTCATTTCACCAACACCACCAGGAAAAAACCTTGAAATTTGTGAAAATCATGTACAGCTATGAAATATCTGAACTCAGGAGAGTTTTTCATCATGGAACAATAGATAAATTTCAGGAATATCTAAGAACCTTGTTTCAATCAACCTCGTAACTCTTGAAAATAAATAAAAGTAAATGCAACTTACTGGCTGCACAACGACGTTGTTCTTCCCATACAACAGCGTGACTCTATTGTTCTGGTGCAATGACTCAACGTAATCTTTTGCAGATGGAGGAATGTTGACTCGAAGATGGACATTACGACCAATCCCATTTGTTTCCTCCGACGTGGTTACACCACTGAGTGGTCGACGATACTGCACGGCGAAAATAGATGAAAGAAAAGAATGAACATTATTTTACATTAAATTAGTGTAGATGATGATGTAGCGGGCCAAATCAAATAAAGCTACAAAATTAGCTAATTCAAGTCTGCTTGGATTATCATTTCTTTGTTCAGGCTATCTCAAAAAGGAAGCGTTAAAAAAGTGCCCCTCCTGAGAAACACTCATAGAAAGAAATAAGCTTCTCTTTGTCGACTTGTGTAAGTATGATATGCTGATAACGCTACCTGCAATCCCAGTTTCCTATTTGTAGGTGGAGTTGACGGTGCGGAACTGTGAGAATTGGTCACACCGAAACAATTCGAAGACATCCTGTGACGCTGAACCAGCTCGTCGGCAGGTGGATCGGATATCCAATGATCCGCTGTTTTCAGCTTTGAATAATCCAATGCACATGGTCCAACTGCAGCGAAATACAGGGGAAATTAAAATAAAATTAATTAAAAAAAATCCTCAATTATCTAAATAAAAAAATGCACTAAAAACAGTTGAAGTTTCCTCGAAAGAACAGAGCAATAAAGGTGAATCTCTCTAGCAACAACGTAGATAGCGCAACATTTTAGCACGATGTTTCGACTCACCGAGTAGAGAGCTCAAAATCGGTCCGTAATCTTGGTCACAAACTAGAGCATCCTTATCGTAAAATTTACTGAAAAAAAAAGAAAAGAAACGCGACTACAATGCTGAACCTTCGTCATCCAACGAATAATTCACGCCATTAATACCTGCTGTTCTGAACCAAGAAATCGATAATTTTTGCCAGTTTTTTCTCGAACAATGCAATACGAATCCACAAGTATTTGATTCCAAGACTAGATCCTCCAGCCCCGCTGACACTCATTGAAGATGCTGAGCTCATGCTTTGCGAATGAGTTTTATGCAGCACGGCTTTGCTGCTGCCTTGATGAAATAAGGAATCCTGACTACCCACAGTCCGCCTGTAAAGAATCGTAGGATGGTCAATAAATCTTCGTATTTCTCACGAGATTATTTTACAGCGATGATTTTGACCTCAGGTATTTTTCGCTTTTATCAGAAAGTAAAAGCAGACCAGAATCAGAGGGATTGAATTTTATAGAAACAAGTTTTTGTCATACGATAAATCAGGGCCTCTTCGGAATACCCTCGTAATTCAAGTTATAACTTTGAACTTACAAAACGGATTTCCCTGGCTCCACGGATTCAAATTCAGTGAGGATTCGGCTGACATCTCCGGCAGGCCCGAAGGTTTTCCCTATTTTCTGTATCAAGGCAGTTGTAGAACTGGATTTAAAGAGTCCGAGAGCTCTTCGACGAAGTCCGTGTGATAAACAGCTTTCAACAGCACCTGAAACAGCAAAAACATCCAATTAATTCATAGCATCAAGAACAAAGAACTTCTACAAAAATTACATCAGCGGGTGATAAGGAATGTGACAATGAAGTTTAACGAAAACGTACCACAGAGAGAAGTCACGGTTCCGCTTTCCTCGTGGATGAATTTTCTCGTGACGGCTTCTTCCATAATTTGCTTCACCTAAGAACAGATAATGTTCAAAATATGTATTTCGAACAATTCGAAAGCTTTTCATTTTTAAAGTACCTCCTTCTTCACCAGAAGGATCAGCTTGGCCTTCACATCCGGTTCGTCTAGAGCAAAAAATAAAAAATTCACGAGTCTTTCTTTCTTTAGATGACCAAGTATCTGACTAACCGTTTTTGCCTGCCATGGTGAAAATTTCGAGATGGAGCAGGCTTCGCAGGCATACAGATTTCCGTTTTCTCCGCAAAAATTCTCATCGCACAGAAACACGAGCACTACGGTTCATTTTCTGAACCTGCAGGAAGGAAAACTTCAAAACTGAGTGAGCGCAAAACACCAGGATGAAAAGAATTTCAATCAAACACACCATCACAACGGTCAGTTAATGCTATAAAAGTTTTCTTCCCTTCAATTGCATAAGTTTCACATAAAACCACTTTGACTTGCGACGGAAACCAGAAACTAAATTTTGTTACCAGCGGCAAGACAGATGTAAAAAACGTTAATCCCAGCGCACATCAGAAAACAAAGATTTTCTTACAGGACTATAACGCTTACAACCATCTACCAGAGCGCTAAGTAAGCGGCAGCTAAAAATATTCCAGTAGAAAACACCGAAATATTCGTACCGCAAGTACATCGTTTCCGCCACGGATAACAACCAACTTATACGGCGGTTGATTGAGTTTCGAGAAAACTTTTATTTTTCATCAAATGTCAGTGGGTTTGGACGAGTGTGTAGAACTATCTTTCAGTGACAAGTTCATATTTTTTCTTGCGATATTTTAGTCGTATCCTATAAGGAAAAAGACTTGTAAATTGGGTTCTTGAGCAGGAAAACTTTTGATTGGGTTCCTCGCAGACTTTCAACAAATCAAGAGTAAAAGGCGTTTCCGCTGCAGCAAACGTGACGAAACTGATTGAATAGGAGTGTTCCTGAATCACGTGGATTAAATTTTCCATGCGATTACTTCACAATGCAGAACATATCTCTTAAAAACTCACCGCTAAACACTTGCTTTCAACGACTCAAGCTATAACTGAGGAAAAATTGGGTGCCAGTACTGTAACATCTATCCACATTCAGGATATCTGCTAGAGCGTAACGATCATGTATGAAAAATATAGGATAAAATTTAAACAGGTTTTTCTCGAACATATCGGGAATTGCAAGAAATCGGAACTCTCACACTCAACAGAAGTCTCCAAGAAACCGAAACTGCTCACTCACCAACTGAAATTTCATTCACTCTCTTTCTTGAAACTTCATGCTGAAAAATTAACGAACAATTATTCTCGTCACTACAAGATTCCTTCACACGTCCAGATAATCCAATTCCATCTGATGTGAAAATATAAGCTTACTAGGAACCCTACCGACGCTCGTATGTTCAAAGAAAGACGACATTTTCCGAATGCTCGATTCTCGTGCTGGACGGGGGTTCGAGGGGTTAAAATTTCGAAAGCCCAATTCGGGAAGGAAAAAACGAACCCGTCGTGTGCGTTTTCCCGCGATATGACATTGAATGAGTCCCTTAATTTTGGTAAGGTTGCACAAGAAAACGGGGTGATGCTCTCCACAAAAGGACTCGCTTCATTCCCCCGGAAATGTAAAGGGTTTCTCATCACCAAATGCGTTCTTCAGGGTACAGTACAGCAAAAAACTTCCGCGGCGGTAAAAGTCAACGTGCCGCTTAACTTTCCGTGCGAATAAAAATTTTGAAAATATGCCTAAAACGATTTCGTCACAGTTCCGCGTACGAGACGACAGATTTAATCGACTCTACAAGCAAAGCCTCAGTTACATCCAGAGAGAAAAGGCAAATTTTCACCTTCGAAACAAACAACTCAAGTAAGCTACAGCGCAATGCTCCCGACCACCCAAAATCGTTCCATTTCATATTCACACAAATGAAGCAAAAAAACCCCCAATGCTAAACCCGAAAAAAAGAGAACTTCAAACTGAATGCAACAACCATGAAGTAAAAAAAAAAAGTGGTGGGAGCATGAAAACGTCAACACAGAAGTTCCGCGTGACGCCGAGGGTTAATTTTAAGAGAGGAAAACGAATGTTTGGTATTTTGACGTACGTCAACAAGTACCGTGGAAGTACTCTCAACAAGCACATGAAAAATATTTTCACCCGAAAAACAAGGAAAATCGCGTCACTTCTCCTTCCGACTCATGAGCAAGAACCCACGCACATGGCACAAAATTCCTCTCGCTCGGAGACAATCAAGGAATGTCATGAACAAAAGAATCAGGTCCGATATGTCCAGCTGCATCCAAGCGTCCAAAAGTGGCTCAAAAAGTGCAGTCGCAAATTTTCCAACATCAACGGTGTCCGGAAATCAAAATCAGGCGCTGCATTTGAAGCGTCGATGTTTCTCGCGCCCAGACAAAAAAAGTAACACCAAGTCGCAAAATCGCCTCCTTCCAACAAAACGCAAGTCCGTAAGTCAATCTGTCACCGCTTTCGGGGAAAGTGAGAGTCGGTTGTCTCTCCTATGACTCGAATTCTTCGGTAGGATATACACGAGATTGAGAAATCAAATGCCGACGATGACCAGGAAAAAATACGGAGTCAAAGTACATCGAGATCTAAGCATTATAACAGAAACCTCTGGAATGTTCGTGTGGCGCATTGAAATTGCGACAACCAAGCAAGAAAATCGAAGCGAAATCCAATAGTAAAAAATATATCGGCTTGAACTTGCAACTCAAGGTTTAAAGCCAGTCGGACGGCATTTCTTTCGACTGGAAACAATCTTCCACTCCAGAAAACTAAGCATGAAAATTACACGGCGAAATCAAAACTTTGCGCAATTCATATCGTAAGCAAAATATACCTTGAAAGCAATATTCTTAAACATAACGGGCAAAATTCTACACAAACCTTCTTTCCGAAGAGTATCTGTCACAGAAAAGATTGTCTGAGGGGCAATTCTCTGCGAAGATTTTCTCCACATACTTCCGATAGCCTTTAAAACATCCGGTGCCGCGGACGACTGCACTATATCATTGCGGCCTTATAATTCTGATGAAACAACCTTTTCATATCGTTTCACTAGCACCAACTTGGCTAACACCTCTGCCATTGATATTTCTGGAACGAGTAAACCGTTGCTCCTATTTTATTAAACCAATGCGGCATTTCCTTCTACGGTTTGTTTACATCTTGATTTCAAACGCGGTTTTCACGGGGGAAGACGCAGAGAAATCCGTGGGAAGTGCGTCGACCAAAAACGGATTCGTGGATACCGGCGATACGACATTCCTTGAAAGCGGTGAGCAAACACGATCCCCGTCGCTACTTTCTTCGCTGGGAAGTTTTGGGATAACTGGTGCGACTTTTGCCCACTCTGCATCGAAAGGATCTAAATCCTTTCTCCTGATAAAAGTAAACATAATCCGGAACATCTCACTTAGAATTCAATAAGAAAGGACATTGTTCCCACCTTTAAAAAGACAAAGCTATCGTTAGTGAAGACTTCAACTCGTGCTCAATGGTCAAACGCTAGCTTAACTAGGGTTTCAAGGTGAACATTCCATTATAAGCAGATAATTAGCAGATTAAAAAAAAATGCAATCAGAAATGAAAATAGCGCAACTCAATTTCCATACTTCAGACCAATTGGACGAGATAATTCGGAGTTCTTTTTTATTTACCCCAAGATTGGTTTAAAATTCAAGAAGAATTTTGGCCGAACAGAAACGCATTTCTCTGATCGGAAAGCAACAAGAATAAGAAGTCCTTTACAATAATTACAGGAACAATGAATTCAGAATTGAATACACACTCACAATTGTTTAGATCTCCAAAATATATATTAAAAAATTAGAAGCGTGCACGAGACCATGCACATTAAAGTAACAATTGACAAGAAAAATCAAAAATTTATACCTCGGTGGGGTGCTGACAGCGGGGGAAGGCGACTTCGCCCCGAAAATTCCGGCATTTGTTGGACTAGCAGCTCCAGAAAATGGAGACGTAAACTTCCTATCATCCTTGCAAATATTCTCAACCGGCTGAAGGGAAATTTAGAAGCAATCAGGATAAGCTCTATCGTGACCTTCCTTCCTTGTGCGACTAAATACTCACTGAGACTCCTTTGGACGAGAATCCATCGAATGGGTCATCCAAATCTCCAGACAACAAGGATAATCCTTGAGAAACTTCTTGTGCCAAGGCAGAGAGCAAGCCGGGGGTATTGGCTTGCTCCAAATCAGAAAACGCGGATTTTTGTTGCAATTCTTGGTTTCGCTCCGCCTGTTCTTCTTCCACGATTTGCCGGGCTCTGTCCAACGTTGAAGGTAGATCGCTGAGTCTCAAGGACAATTGACGCTTGAAAGGTGCTTGCGAATTCAACTGCGGAAATCCACGGAAGGATCCCTGCCTTTGGAGCATATACTGAGTAGCGTGCGGACGTTCAATCGCATATGGATTTACTACAGGCTTCACTGGCGGAGGCTCTGGAATGACCAAACCCGCGAAGAGATTTAAAAATACGACCAACATAATGACGGATCGCGAATAATTATGAAGAAAATTAAAGCACTGTGTTTTCCCAGATAAGAATTTATCAAGCGAAAAATCTTCAGAAAGTTTGCATTAGATTTTTAAGGTGAATCGGAATCTTTAAAATTATAATTGACCTCAACAACATTTGTTTCGGCACCAATGGTCGGTTTTCATCACTTCAACACTCCACCCACTTCACTGAGTTAACCAGACATTTAACCAGAACCCATCACCTGACCCGAAATGGACCATATTAGAGCTCAACTATTGACATCCGACCCAAAAAAATAAGTAGCCTAACACAACTTAAATACAACATATTTGGACGAACCGTATCTAATTGAAAATCACGAAGTCCCGGATATCAGGCAAAGACGTAAAAAGATTTGTAGCCTATTCAAATCCGGGAACCTCACGTGCTATTTCAAACAATTTTTTAGAGATTGAACTTTTTTGTTACAGTACTTCTACTTCATTCTGAAATTCTTCAAACATCACATTTCTCCGTAAACGGGGGACCATGAAGGGGAACGACGCAGGCAACTTTCAATTGAAAATATCAACGTTTTGCTGCAAAGCGAACGGAGAAGGGCATTTGCTTTCTCTCTCATCAACATCAACAGTTCTGGCCACAAAAAAAAAAAGAAAAGATATTTCAGTTGACTGTTCTCACCGACTGGTTTCAAATCCTGTGGATCCTGAATCCTCTCAGTAAGCGTGGCGGCCCGAAATGATCCAAGACGAGTGAAAGCGCCTTGAGCGTCGAATGTCATCGTCACAGTGCATTCCTTGTCTCTCTGCTGCTTGCGTTCGAGACAAAGCGCAAACGCACATCCTACCGCGTGACTCAACCGTTCTCCCTATAAATTATATTGAAGAAAATGAGAATCTCAACAACAAACATTTGGATCGATGCAATATTACCGAATCATGCAAAGCGAGAAATCCATGACACATCCAACGCCTCGTCGTCCCGTCGCGACAAATATACGAAAAGCCTCTTTCGTGGTTCCGGTCCGGCGCACAGAAGGAAACTTTCTCGATTGTCTGATCAACGATCAATCCTTTGGTCTCATCGTCTACAACCCTCAGTCCATCTCCGGAAACATACAGTACCCCTTTCACAAGTCTTCGTCGTCCAGCCTGATGTATGATTCAGAATATTCTTCAAACATCGATCGTAATGATAAAGCACATGCGAACAACACACCCTCAATTGCTTCAACGCCTCTTCACAGATATCCATTCCACGCGACTCATACACTTGAATGCAACCCAAATACTGCAAAAAAACGAGAATGCTATTTATAGACTTCCGATCATGCATAAACGCGAAAATCTACCTTAACGGGGAATGAACAAGTTCCGGCTCTAACAGAAGCTTCATCTTCCTGCCACTGATGTGGTTTGCAAGCTTCTGGTATACGAACGCCACTTCGCAAATCTCGTCGCTTTCGAAAACTGTCGCGAAAACTCCTCCGCAACTTGTCCATCCTTTTACTGCGACGGCCCTGCTAAAATATTGGTCGAATGAACGCACGTTCAGCTTAAATGCCAACATAATTCACATTCGAACAGCACACAACGAAACCTTCCGCTCTTCTCTACAAAGCGAAAACGAGATCTCCGCTTCGGAGACACACGGCGAGGGCTCCGACTGATACTCGACATGCAACATTGGTAGCTAATTCATGCAATTTAGCATTCAAGAGAAATACAAAAGCGAACACTTACACTGGCATGAACGGAAGATTGCGAGACCCTTCAACCCCAACCGCGAAACATCACTGAGGATGTGATATCACAACTGAAGTGAACACTTCGTATCATACATCACAGTGCACCCAGGGTTATGATACCTTGAAGTTTTAGAAGCAGATACAGTACAAAGATCTTCTTTCCATGAACCACGAAAGAAGAAATAGATGTGCGAAGACATTAGGTCAGTAAAGCACCGTCCCACCACGTGTAAAATCGCGCTCAAACAGAATTATCTAGCGGTGGAAGATTTTGGAAAAAACCTTGTCTTGAGGCGCTGGTCCTCCCCTCTCAAACGTTGAAGGTGGCATTGAGTGACGGTGCTTCGGATGTTGAACAGATGGTCCTGCTCCCATGCTGACTAAAGAAACAATATGCTTCTGTTGATTCAAACGCAGGTACACCGAACACCAGAGAAGGGAGTGTTTCAGAACTTAAGTGCAGATATGTTCCTAAATTATGGTTCCCATGAGGATGATAATTATACACTCGAAGTTGAAACGATCTGTATGCACCTGAAGAAATAAACCCATGCAATATGACAAGCATTATCACTGTCCGCTTGAAATGGCGTAATCACGTTCCCATTCTGAACGAGCACTTCGCGAGTTTATTTCATGCATATTAACAGAGAATTCTTCGAATACACCGTCCACAAAACCTCAGAAGAAAATACAGCCCCAAAGCAGAACACTCTTTCCACAAATTTACGTGGTATTAATACATTTTTAACTTTCCTTAGGACAAGCGTAATGTACTTCACTTTCACCACGGCGACCTCGCCCCTACTGAGAATCATATCCATGAACATTCTTCTGCCCTCAATCTAGTCCTCGGCGCCCGTACATAATATGGATTGACAGAAATTCCGAAACTACAGTCCGATCTAACGGGCTGAAGCTTCATCAGGGACAGTATTTTATTTATAAAAACCAACGACATTCTTCTCAATTAAGACTTTCCTGAGAAATTTCATTATACAGTACTTAAACGGAGTATTCCAATTTCGATTATCGCGAGAAAGAAAAAAAAGTTCGTGACATGACTTTGTTTATTTCTTTCAACAAATCTCACAATTGCTTCACACAGCAGTTCAGGGGAATTTATCACTTCCTTCCTACATTACAAGCAGCAATTACAGTTCATACCGGAGAATCACTTGAGCTGCGGAAAAAACTGAAGTTCAATTGTACTTACCCTTTTAGGTAAGAAAAAAAATCACAATATAACCTTCCAGCTAATGGCATGAACAGCAAATTGCAGAAAATTTGCTTCCAGCGCACACATCAGGCTTAAAAAAGAAACGGTTATACTCAGGTGAACTCTCCACAACAAAACTCCTGGGACCTGAAAAAATGCATCGCAGACAGCATTTTGTTGTAGAGAACCCTTATAATATACCTTATAATATATAGGGAGAGAACCCTCCACTGCGGGACCACACAAAAATTCGTTGTACAGAGAAAATCATTGTACAGTACATAGAAATAGGAAAAATAGATACAGTATATACAGACTACAGTATATACAGTACTAAACATATATATATATATATATCAAGAGAGTCCACCTGTCAATTGCCAAACCAGAAACGTAGATAGAACCAAAAATGAAACTTTAAAAAACATATTCAATGTATATTTTCTTCTGTTTCTACTGCATGAATGGATTAACAATAATGCAAAAACATTCTTAAACAGCAATTCGCACAGCTTCAATAAACTGTTTCCCAAGTCTTCTATCTTTTGCATCGCCATCATCGTCCTGACGTGAATTAATGAAGAACAGACAAGTACACATGTGATGAGTCAGCATCAATGTTATGGGAATACGACTTTCACTATAAATCCTGATACAATACAATAATCTGAAGATTCTGAACAAGGGGGGGGGGGACACTACATGTAGCAGCTCAAATTTTTCTCGGGAAAAGTTTGTGGCGTATTTTATATGCACAAGCTATAAACCGGTACTTAAAAATAAATAATTATATATACAGTACGTACTTGAAAAAAATTTATTAATCATGTAGGTTATACATAGCTTATGAATTTATATTTTTATGCAGTTTTTCTAGCTTATACTGTATACAGGTATGTTATGTAAGCTATAAATTATATATGTGGGATATGAGCATTTCAGTTCATCTTAATCATTTATAAGAGCACTCGTTTTTATGGAAAGAATATTTAAATAACTCAAAACTGTACCTAACATTTGATTCACTGATGTTTTACGGCTTTTACTGCATAATTCCGCAAAATTTACTTTAAACATTTATTTCGGTATTATTCTTTATTCCCAAAAATTAGTCCATATTACACAAAACTTTTTGTCGCACTCGCTCAAGGACTTTTTCGTAACTTTTCAGTCTCAAAACTTGAAGGAATCTCGAAGTCCACAAGTATTTCTCATGACTTTAAAATCAGTGCTAATGCTGAAACGTGTTTTCTAAAATCTTTGGAGGTCGCAATCAGGTATATTCCATCAACGGAATCGAATATCATTATCCACAATGTCCGAAGATATATTTTTTTGCAAAACACGCAAATTCAGCGACATAGACGGACTCATGTTTATAATATTCGAAGCACTCTGAAATCTATGTTTTAATTCATACTGATGATGAATTCGCAAGAATTACGATTTTTTTCGGTGAACAAAGTTGGCCTTCAAAAAATGCGATGAAAGAGCATTTAGCGCTCTTGAAAAAAATCACGAAACTTTTTGAAAACTCTGTAATAGTTTTAAAAAAAAAACAAAGAAATCAAAGAATTTGTATGAAGAACTTCTTGACACAAAGTGCATGTCTAGACAGTATACGTCTTTTTAATGTATACTGCAGCACAAAAGCCTATAGATTAACGGATATCAAGATCATCGGGCTTGTCAAGAATAAACGGCACAAAATATGCAAATACAGTACTATCAGCAAAATTAATTTTGCAGATACAGTACTATCAATAAAAATAATAATGGTATTTTGCTCTAACATAATTTACCTTCTGTAAAAGTGAGTTGCAAATTATAGAAACGGTTGTAATCTCTGTCTCGAGAGGGGCCTTTTCGTAGTGCGCAAAAATATTACAATGAAGGAAAACGATTTTATTTTTGCAAGAAATGTTAGTCCCCTTCGAGTTTATTCAGCGTTTAGTAAAAGCACGGGAGGTTTTTTGCTGAATTTATTCACAAGAGCGGAAGCGCAGCACAAACTTCCGAATCTTAAATCGAGAGTCTTTTGCGTCTAAAAAAAGTTTCCGATGCACATAGGAAACCAATTTAATTTTTTCTAAGAAATTGTCTTCATCATTCAGTTCCCCGCGAGTTCATTTCAGCGTGTAGAAATAACGGGAGGTTCGCTGAACTATTTAATGGGCGCGAAAGCATTATAAATCAACTATATACAACACTGTTAAAATGTCGCACAAAAGCCCAAATAAATTGTATAAATAAATAGTAGAATATTCCATTACAACAAATCTCGGTATAACGAATGTTTTATTGGTCCTGGCAGTTTCCCATAGGTGTAATGTTATAAAAATCCTTTTTTCAATGAACTAATTTTAGGCTGTAATCTCATTATTATAACAAATTTTTGTCCCTCATTCTGTGTTTAAGACAATAGGGTTTGTTTTATATGTATGAAATAAATAAATAAAAGGTGCAGCATTCAAACTTCAACACAAAGGAAAAATTTCTGCCAATAAATCTTCTTGTTCAAAAAGTACTAAACATTATATATTTCTTAGAAATTCAGTAGCTCCATTCTAGATAATATGCCTTTCTTCCCAATACAGTATACAGAATATTTGAAAGAATTTCCACCCATACGCAAGAACATGCATGAATGAAAACGTTTATTCAGAAGGAAGCATATTCCTCTTACATGTGCTGTACTAATGCTAATTGTATATTTTGAAACAAATGTCACTTTTTAGTAGAATTGCAGGTTCAGTAGAAGGAAAATACTATTTATTTCAGGTTTTCTTTTTTATTTCATCAAGAATACTCATTATTTATTGTATAATTACCGTATTTACTTGGGTACCACGTGCACCTTTTTTCCCAAATTTCAGAAGAAAAAAAGGGTGCGCGTCATAAGCGGGTACAAAATTTTCAAGAAGTTTTAGGAAGTTATGTGTGCATTATACTTGATTATAATAGAGATGTTTTGGNAATTATAGAAACGGTTGTAATCTCTGTCTCGAGAGGGGCCTTTTCGTAGTGCGCAAAAATATTACAATGAAGGAAAACGATTTTATTTTTGCAAGAAATGTTAGTCCCCTTCGAGTTTATTCAGCGTATAGTAAAAGCACGGGAGGTTTTTTGCTGAATTTATTAGCAGGAGCGGAAGCGCAGCACAAACTTCCGAATCTTAAATCGAGAGTCTTTTGCGTCTAAAAAAAAGAGTTTCCTATGCATGTAGGAAACCAATTTAATTTTTTCTAAGAAATTTTCTTCATTATTCAGTTCCCCGCGAGTTCATTTCAGCGTGTAGAAATAACGGGAGGTTCGCTGAACTAATTAATGGGCGCGAAAGCATTATAAATCAACTATATACAACACTGTTAAAATGTCGCACAAAAGTCCAAATAAATTGTATAAATAAATAGTAGAATTCCATTACAACAAATCTCGGTAGAACGAATGTTTTATTGGTCCTGGCAGTTTCTCATAGGTGTAATGTTATAAAAAATATTTTTTTCAATTAACTAATTTCAGGCTGTAATCTCATTATTATAACAAATTTTTGTCCCTCATTCTGTGTTTAAGACAATATAGGGTTTGTTTGATATGTATGAAATAAATAAATAAAAGGTGCAGCATTCAAACTTCAACAAAAAGGAAAAATTTCTGCCAATAAATCTTCTTGTTCAAAAAGTACTAAACATTATGTATTTCTTAGAAATTCAGTAGCTCCATTCTAGATAATATGCCTTTCTTCCCAATATACAGAATATTTGAAAGAATTTCCAGCCATACGCAAGAACATGCATGAATGAAAACGTTTATTCAGAAGGAAGCATATTCCTCTTACATGTGCTGTACTAATGCTAATTGTATATTTTGAAACAAATGTCACTTTTTAGTAGAATGGCAGGTTCAGTAGAAGGAAAATACTATTTATTTCAGGTTTTCTTTTTTATTTCATCAAGAATACTCATTATTTATTGTATAATTACCGTATTTACTCGACATGGTGCACGTGGAAAAAAGGGTTTAAAGTCTTCTTTTTTTCCCACGCGCAGTATTCGCCCATGTTTTAAAAGTTCTTCAAAATCCTTCAATACACACGTAATATGAACTAATATTATCTCTACAATTGAGCAAATGTAACAAGAAAACGTTTTTGTACTGAAAAAGTTGAAAATTGATGAGATTTTTGTTCTATTCATGCCTAAAGTCAATTTTTTGTTTTTATTTGCAAAATTTTGTGGTTTCAGATTCGCTAAAAATTGGGGTGCGCATCTTACTTGGGGATATGATTTTAGCAAAATTTAGATGAGATTTTTGTTCTATTCATGC